AAATTATATTCATAATCATACTATAAATATAAAAATATTATCATGTATTCACTTTCTCATAAATCCGATACATGGTTTGTATAGCTGCCACCAATTGTTCTCTTGATGTTGAGGATTGTATATTATGTATTGGATGAGATTTGGAATAAAATATTCCATAATGGAACTTCCTACAGATGTTCCCTGCCTATGGCGATGCTATTTTCAATATTGGTCAAATTGATGAGATTCAGAGAGATCATTTTAATAATCAGACCAACATTGCCAGCAAATACATACAAGATGAACAGTGGACGAAGTGTTTTATGGTAAGTGTGACAATAGACAATAGTTGCATATTCACTGATTTTAAAAACTAATGATAATTTTATTTGTAACCAGAATTAGAATCATCTTGAAAAATTTTGGAAATAGATTATTTTTTTTTACTGAATTAAACTTATTTATTAAATTATCTACAAATTTGAAGAGAATTACTTTAGCTGAGTAGTCTACCTCCTTAGAGTTTGTTATTGTTATAGCGCCCTCTTGACACTTCTTTCACAAATCTTTTGTTTTGTGTACCTACCCTTGTTTAGCATGTTTAGCTAATATCCCTTGTTTAGCATGTGTCATCATAAATAACCAAATTGTTGGTTGAAAATGCAATGTACCTTCCAGTAAGAAATGACACTTACATTATGAATGGTTTGATGGATGGATCCATAGATAAAAAATGTTTTTGATAGATGGCAGTTGTAGTCTTTTCTGCTAGCGTTTTAAAACACTAGTTTGAGCAACGTTATTTCGCAATTTCGATCTTTAGAATACCTGGGATGATGTATCAAGGTCTAAAGTAACCGTTTTATCAATTTTTGAAAAATCAAGAAAAAAGTGAAAATGTCCCTTCTTGCTACCTTAATTGCAGTTGCAAATCACTGAAGGTAAAGAGAAGAGTGTATTACTATCCTTATTTCTGTATAACTGTAGTTCACCATATTGTATACTATTTAATCTGTAGATATTTGATGTGTTATTAAATGGAGATGTAAGCAAACAACCATCATATTATTACAATGCCAGTGGAGTACATGATTACTACAACTTTCTCAGAACTGAAGTAAGTGATTTTCAAATATTTTCTATTTCTCAATTATATTCTTTTAAACCAGGACATCTATTTGTTGATTCAGTTGTAATTGCATGCATGCTTGAATGGATTTGGTTGAAATATAGCACCTATTTTCTTTGAGGAAAGCCTGGTGAAACATGAGTGTCTAATCAGAGACCTTAGAAAACAAAAGCTCTCTAAGGTCTATGGTCTAATTTACTTAACTGTCGGCAACATTGTGCATTCAAATATTTGTTTATGAATGATGTGCTGTGAAATGCACATACTTTTGTCAATAATATAATCACCAACATTTTGTTGAGTTGTTCGGTACTCAATACCCTGCGATCAAGAATATATCTGTCATGTCATGTTTGTTTGTGGCACATAGTTATAAACTTGTTTGAACCAAACTTTGCATAATATGATCAGAATTGTGTGTTAAATACTTAAAGAGTCGTCACATGCGCATGTTCAAATTTTGTGTAAACAAAGAAAGAATTTTCGTGCGTTGAATATGCGTTGCTACGGAACCCATATCAATCATGACGAAGAGCCGCAACAACAGTTTTTCCTCTAATTAAAACATACTCTGGAAGGCAAGAATGAAGATCTAAAATGTAGACAATATTACATACGTTTGTATTGATGGTAATTATGCATACATTTTTAGGCTCCCAAGGAGTTTGGTTATTATAATACCTATCTATCCATGGGTGGTGTACGTAAAGCAATTCATGTGGGTAATCTGACTTACAATGACGGTAGCAAAGTGGAACAGAACTTAATTGAAGACATATGTAAATCAGTCAAACCATGGCTTATAGAATTATTGAACAGTGACTATAAGGTAAGCATCAGTGTAAGTTACACAGAATTTATGCTAAGAGTTATTTTATTTTTGGTATGTATGCTTGGTTAATGTTAAGTTTTTGCTATTTTGTAAGTATTGCTTGAATTTGTATAGTTACCTACCGGGTATAGTCCGACTTTACTACGGTAGAGCAGATTTCTACTAAATTCTCTAAGGCTATTGCTTGAATTTTTCTTTTGTATTTTATGACTTTTTATTGGGTAATCTTAAATGTTTACATTCCAGAGTTTTATAAATGTTACATTTCTATATATTTGTTTTCAGTTTGCTTTTCTCCAATTTATTATAAATTGTATTTGTAGGTTACATTTTTTGAAATGTTGTAGCATTGTAGCATTTTGTTGTTTGTTTTTGCAATAGCATTGGTATACTTTCTTTACATATGGTAGCAAACCCTTAAAGTTGAACTATTGCTTAGATTTGTATTGTAGTTATCTATGGTCAGATTTCACTAGAGCAGATTTCTACAAATTTGAGTAGTTTATATTTAATAATAATAACTTTATTACGCAACTGAACCATCTGTGGGGTTTAGTACAGTAAAAAATGATTACAAAAGACAAATAAAATAAGACACACTAAAACACTAAAATTAAAATACACTGAAATTCAACAAAAGAAAGAAATACAAATTAGAAAATCTCTGAAAAATTAAACAGCAGCAAGGTTCTCCCAGACCACAGTGAGTTACATATTTAACTTTAGAAAATTGGATTTTTTAAATAATATGATAAAGCCATATTATTTCCCATTATTTTCACGAAGCTTTCCATTCTGGACAACTCATTAATTTTTATTTTAAAATACTTCAAGACATGTTTTCTCTCTACTTCATAGAAATTGCAATCTAAGATGAAATGCATTTTATCTTCAATTTGATCTGAATTGCATTTTTTGCAAGTTCTTTCATTTTCTGGGGTTTTTGGTTTCCTCTATCTTCCCAATTCAATTCCAAGGTTGTGGTCACTGAGTCTGAACTTTGCTAACACTCTACGTTGCCTGAAGTTTTTCATTTCATATAGATAGTTTTCCAATTCAATGTGATGGCTTAAGTGATTTTATGTCATTAAAGGCACAACATCTGTGCCATGGGACACTAGTGTGGGAAGGCATCTGAGGTGATTACCTAAAATGCTCATTACATAGGACAGTAAGTAAGTGAACAGGTGATTTCTTTTGTCCTTAAATGAATAAAAAAAGTTAGTTCTATGTAAAATGACCCCTAATGGTCACAGATCCTGACATTTTCTGGAGGTATAGTTGTCATATAACTGCAATCATTTCTCAATGTTTTCTAGTTGAACTGCTTTTGAGCTGTAATGTTAAGTTGGAATTTGAAATAAATGACATTTTCTTTCTGCCAAAGGTGCTGCTCTATAGTGGACAACTGGACATTATTGTCTCTGCTCCATTGACAGAGCGTTTTCTATGGATGTTACCATGGAAACATCTGTCGGATTACCAGAAAGCTGATCGCAAAGTGTGGAAAGTACAGAAAACAGACACAGAAGTGGCTGGATATGTCAGGGCTGTTGGTCCTGGAAATGGCAATTTTTTCCAGGTAAATATATACAATTGATGTCTTGAGTGAAATTAAATTTATTTTAACAGACATGTAAAAAAATCTTTTCTTTATTGTATCCTTGACTTTACCTGCACTTCTTGAACTGAATATATACTCCAGTCCAGTAATGCTTGTCAATCAAGTAACCTCAATCATTTGTAAAACTGACTACCTTGCTGCATAGAGGATTTCTGAATATACAACGAAGCACATAGTTGCGTGAAATTAGTTTGGAACTGTCGGTCCGTTTGATTGATTGTGTGTGTGTGTGACACCTGGTGCCGTCGATTGCTCATTGGCCGGTATAACTGTAACAACAAACAATCAGCGACGAAAAGGCGGAGGTTAATGAGACAAACCATTTTACTTAGGAGTGGTAACTGTGATCTCATTTGTGCCGAACAAACCCGGAATGTGACAATTTCGACAATTTTCGAAACATGCCGATAACTGAATTCTGTAATAAGCTGGAGCTGCCTGGCACCCCGGTCTGGCAACCCAGTCTGGCACCCATTTGAGTTCAGGAAGTGGATGTTTCTCTGAACACGCGTTGTGCGTGTATAGTCATCGTTGTTGTGAAAAGCATTTGTGTGTGTGTGTGTGATAAAAAGGTGTTTAGAGCATCCACCACTGTCTTGAATCAGCTTTGAAAATTTTCCGTATTCTATATACTCCTCCGTTGAGGAAATTACACCAGCTGACACTAGATCATTCTTCAGTGCAACAAGATATCTGTTCGTTTAGCTTAGAAACTGTACAAAACGGTACTTTTTAGGGCCACCACATTCTCCAGAAAGAGATATACCGTGTTTTAACGAGTGTAACAGTTTGATTTAGCTGTGGGTCCGCTGTTCTTTTTGTGTTGACGTTTAGTCTTTGTGGTGTTTTTTTATTTGGTGTCATCAAATTTGTTATTTTCAGACATTAAGATTTTTATCGACACAGAAGAGCTATGCCCCCCTATAAACTAGCCTAACACAAATGTGCGTCACCAATACAACATTTACTGTCACCTATTTATATTACGTGCAGTGGACGGTTGGGCGTTATGTTTGCTACAATGTATTTGTGTATCATAAATGTCAACTAACAACTCAACTAACCAAAACATAACAGTTTACAAAGCCTGTCGCCGACACTGGGACACGTTTCGATCTGACTATTTTCACGCAATTGTGATGTTTTAGACTCATTGAGCAAAGCAAAACAAATGGTTGAAATTCCTTATTTTCAGTTTCTACTTTAGGGAAGCCTATACCTTCGTTAAGACCTGAAGGGACTTGTCTTTGACCATATTTATATTCTCCAACTGCCCATGAAACTTTAAAACATTGCTGTCACACATAAGTGGTTGACCAGGCGGTGATGTTGTTACACTCACACTCTAAGTTTTGTGTGCAATGCGCCAGTGTGGGAGGGGGTGACTCTCTGTGTTCTCAAAATATGAAGGAACAGATTGCAACTTCCATTTCCATGCTTGCATTCAACCAAAAATTGGTTCAGATTGAGAGACTGTTGATCTTTTCCAACTGACTGACATCTATGAAAACATGTGTGCATGTTTCAAGATCATGGCACACCAGTACGTGCACCAGTCGGGTGTACAACAAGCCAACATAAACATGTTATATTAAATACCTATTAAACATACTAATTGTATTTCGTATTAAAAATAATGAACTCCCAACAGTGTCATATTGGATTCAGAGACTATTCTATGCTTGCCTGTGGAATTGATCTAACACAAATGTACTTGTTTTGTAGGTGATTGTACGAGGAGCTGGTCACTTGGCACCGTTTGACCAACCAGAAAGAGTCTTGAATATGCTGAACAGATTTATTGAAGGAAACTCATGGAAATAAATAAGCTTAATAATTATGAGTCTCAGTAATTTAAAATTATGTTCAACAAAGTATTTGCTTATGCACCAGTCATTGTCGAAAGTGTTAGCCATGTAAACCTGAGTTATGGGATTTGAATGCCACATTTTATACTGAAAATAAGTTAGATTCACAAGAATAACACCTTCTAATGGTGGGTTTCACATAACAATTCTTAGGAGCCATTACATGGTCACACAGTATGGATTCCAAGCACATCAACATGTGGGCCAAATGCATGCAGCCAGTCTTGGTTACCACCACACTCTTTAAAATCTCACACTCATACTTCAAGTTTTCCATGTAACCATGGTGTATTTTTGTACAGGCAGACATACAACTACAAATCTCTCAATACTTTCTGTTAATCAAATATTGAGACATTTACTAAAAAAAAAATTTTTTTGCTATTTACCAAGTGTAATTATTTTTGCAACAAGGCAATGAAGTTGCAATATCAGGAGAAGCTAGGAATCAATGCTAAATTGTTCGAGTTACGCAAATCACCACGCTCAAATTGTAACCATGTTAGATTAACAAAACTTTGAGTTACGGGCAACATAGATTTATTGTTTGGTTTAACGTTCTAATTTACGAGTTGCGTTAAACAAAATCAAAAATTAATGCCCATAACTAACAATTCAGCATCTCTTTCTGAGATCTCTAGAATGTAGCAGTACAGGGGGAAATAATTACATGATCCTAAAATAACACTTAACAGCAATTTCAAACAGCTAATCCCACCAAAGTTCAATCTAAAAACAATTATTGTGATTGAATCAAACCCTACTGTGATGAGTAGACAACTTATTTAAGACAACTTATTTAAGACAACTTATTTAACCTGCTGTATATTATGCTCAGTACAAAGACTAGAAGACCACATGACAACTTGGTAGTCAGGTATTTTTTATCAATTTGTCTGTTAATTATAGTAAGCATTCAGCCAATGGTACTTGCTCAGTAACAATATCACAAATTTTCAACATGGGAGGGGGGACTTATAAGTTACTACTATAACCTGAAAGCTTAGATATACCATATTTGTCATAGCTTAGAGATCGAGTATAGGCTGTCATGGTAGCATGCTTGGAAACTTTTAGTGAATATTTGTATCATAGATCATTTTGTCGCTGGCTTAATATTAGTAATCACCAAAAATCACCTTGCTGAATGCCAAATAGTCAATTTCATTTTTACAAAATCCTCATGGGATCAAAACAACTTCACACCATCACAAAAAAATTCTAATTTACAATAATCATTCATAAAGACAAGAATATGTTCAGCATTATTTATTTCATTGTAAACTGCATCAATATGATGAAGTAGCACTTTCCACAAACCTTTACTGACCACTTCAAAAAAAAAAAAAAATACTGATTTGAAAAATCGAAATTGGGAATTCACACTCCAGTACTATTCTAGCTGACAACATGTGGAAAACCTCTAATATATTAAATACAAACTTGTAATTGGCATTCTTATTTGTTTTAGGAAATCCCCACTTCTGTAATGACATAAAATTCAATACAAATCATCTGCCCCAGTTCCCAAATGAATTATTCAGAGAGAAAATCTACCGCCATTACAATTTTGCCTAGATAGTTTACTCTATCTGCAATTTTGTTTCAATATAATTAATACTAGGTTTGGCAAGGCTCTAGAAAGATCTATGAATTGCATTTAGAAGCATGTACATTCGGCACAAACAAACATGCGTTTAATACAGGTATGAAAATAGTCATTTTAAGCAAATTACAAATGAGCATTTCTATTAAGATTTGATATTGGTTAGGGGGAAAAAATGCACACATGGTTGTAGATGAAAGAATGATTATCATAATCACATTTTGTTTTTGATAATTATTAGGGATTAACACTCCAAATCATCTACCTTAATGAAATCAAATACATTTGATTGAGGTGAAAATTTATAATAATACGAATCAAATGACAATTCACTGGAATTTCCCAATAAAGTTAAATACAAATTCCTGCTTTGATTCTAAAACTATCAGTTCATCGGAAGGTAATACAAATGTGGGGATGAAATAGCTAAATTTGGCAAAAACTGCGACTCAAAATAAAAGATCCAATACATTTTCCTCTTGTAATTCTAAATTGATTGTAGTTTGTGAAACAAAAGTAAAACTCCATTAAATTGTATGAACGTACATGTACAACAGTAAAAAATATAAACATTGCATCTTCATTGCACGAGACAATTAAGATTCATAACTTGTTATCAGGTATGCTAATTACCCGTGCCTAATAACTAGACATGAAAAAAATAATAAACAAGTTCTCATAGCTCATGTGTTTGAGGGCGCCCTACCACTGGGAACACATCTGGAGCAAAAATTGCGTTTCTAACTGGAAATACTGCCGAGTCAATTTACTTATTTGTTTTCATGGATGATTTTCCCATCTTGCAACATAAAAATAATACAACTGTTAAAATATTTAAAAAAAACAACTAGGCAACAGATACACAAAAAATGGTGGGAATAGAAATTATTTCTCGTGAAAACCACATAGAACATATGCGGGACGGGAGCAAAAACACAGTATGGATTTAAGTGCAAATAAGTGAATTAGTTTATTTTTCAACACTAGGTATAAAATATCCAAACTTTAGCACTGAAAGGAAGCATATTTGGCAATTCCTATTTTTTTAGGTGACTCCCTGTTCTAGTAAATCTGGTCATCTTTATTTTCAAATTGCTTTGTATTAAATCAAAATAATACAATCGTTTTAACACATTATCAAATACATGTACGTGTTCAATGTTGAAAGCTGTATTGGCAAAGCATGGGGCTTTAGAGTACGACCAGTTTCCACGAAACACCACAGCCTAGAAAACTGACAGGTAGGATGTGTCATCACTCGACAGGATTATCCACGCTGCATCAGTGGCTCAGATTCTTCGCCCGCTTTTCTTTTTTTCAATTCGCTTTGTTAGATGGGCATTGGCTGTTTCAAGTGCCTCGACTTGATCGTTGGCTGCCCTTAGCTATATCACGACACCACACAGGGATGGGTACACATACAAAAGTAAGAAAAAGTGGAAAGAGAAAGGTGAATATAACATCAGTAGGAAATTGTGGGAGTGTAGCTATTAGTGGAATAAATATAAAGGGTTGATGGCGGGGGTTTAATGACACAATTATGTTAGATAAAAAATATATAAACTTTATGATTAGAAGAACAGCCAGAACACCTGGGAATAGCTATAAAAATAAAATGGAAGAAATCCGCTGGAATTGGCTGTACAAGTAATTCCATTTGCTAAATTAGAAATATTGCCTAATGGATGAAATAAAATTATGGTGACAAATATTAAAAAAAAAAAGGTGAGTGGGTTCAGGGCTACCATTCTCAGCTTCTACTTGTTTATCTGGATTGTGAAAAGCCATCTCATGTGCTATGTAAACCAATTACAAATTATTGAATATGGATTGAGTAATTTATGTCATCAATCTCCTGATATTGGAGTTTGTATTATTTGCACCGTTGGAAAACAGCAATATCCCAAGATAATCTCAAAGCCTTAATGGAGAACTGCACATAAGATTGGCATTCCACCTCCATTGCACAATGCATGCTTCCCACAGCTACATGTATATCCAAGAACTACAGCTGTATCATACAACCATGCCTGCATCTAACTGCATTGCACATAACAGTTAGCTTGTGTGTGTCAATCACAACAAATATATCATTCAGTTTGTCTAAAATATCAACCTGGTCACAAATCCAAGGGCTTGATTTATGCAAGCGAAGGGTTGTTTCAGAGCAAAGCTTGGTTCCGTGCGCTTCGACTTTTCAGGCTTTCAACACGTTTACTAAGGCGACTATTGTCTAATTCCAGTTCCATTATTCGTTCCTGCACTTTCTTCAGCTGTAGTAAGGTAATGGTAATAGTAGAATGACTAGAGTTATTACAGAAAAGAGATTGTAATGCATTGTTGCATTGATGAGAGAAAACCAGTTTGTTTCTGCATCTCATATTTTACCAGTGTCACAAGTATATCCTTGTCTTTACTGCAATACAATTGAATGAGAACAAACTGGTTTCCTCAGAATATGAAGAAAGAATGAAGGCAGGCAGATACAAAAATTGAACTGGCAATTCTAAAGTGAACAACACAACACCATGGTACCTCACCAGCCTAGATTACAAAAAAAAAAATAAATAAAAAATAAGCAGTGTTTAATGAATGAATACCGGGGTACTACTGGTACAAACACACACACATTCATATCTACAACTAGTGGTGCACTATGAACATAGAATTGTATTGCACATATACACATTTATTTTATAATGCATGTATATTAGCTTACAGCATGGGAGGGGACTACTATTACATAAGTGCAACATATCTATGCATGATTCTACAGGTTGACATATTCTAGCACTTTTTTTTTATTATAACCTCACACTGAATTCAGGAAAATTAATGAGAAATTCTCATTGACAGTTTTCCTACAAAAGTACCAGGATGTGTGACCTGTAGGGGTCACCACAGATGTGTTCAGAGCAAACATTAGTCAATAGTTATACATGACCCCTATCAAACTAACTGAAAACATTTAGAGAAGACCTTGTCAAGTACAAGTTTTTCCAGACAAGCTGATGAAGATGTCAATTTCTAACATAGTAATCTTTTTTCTCCCCTCAATTTACTGCCCACGCCATATTGTTACGAAACGACAACATTGCCAATATAATGTGCATCTTGAGATCCTTACATGATAAGAACTGCTCAGTTCAAACCATTTTCACGAGGGTGCGCCATTCGGCTATAAAATGCACTCATTTATGAACCAATGACTGTATCCTGACATTTCATACTGTATCAGTACATACATTTTTCTTTGTATAATTTTACTGAATGAAATAAATTAAAAGGCAATCGCATCGTGATCCTCAATACTCAATGTGTCAGAGTCCCTCACTATTAGTTTGACTTCTCTTATTGAGATTGGTTTAATCCAACTTTTTCTAATCATGTAACAATCCTAAGATGCACATAGCAAACTAGTCAGCAATTTAGCTGGCAATTTTGCTGTTCTGGTGTTATGGCAGTAACAGTAATACCAAATATCACCTAAGATTTGAACAGTGGTCATGTGCCAATTGATCATTGTGATTAATACATAATTAACAATGAATATCATTACAGACATAAACATAAAATAAAACAATATGATATGCAATTAAGACTTATCCATGTGACAAGTTACAATGAATTAATTAGATTTCTACTGGCAAGAATCCCTCACCAATAAGTTGAATCCTAACCCTGTCCCTCCCATGCACATTCCTCCAATTTTAATTTAATATGCCTCTCTTTTTAAGGACACATATAAGGAGGGCATATATAACTAAATTGGGGGGAGGTGCAATGTTAGAGTTAGGGTTCAGTTTAGAGGTGGAGGTTCCAGTCAGACATCTTTGCGCTGATTGTAACAATGTATTGTCTTTGTACAAGACGGGGGTAATACATTTCTGAGAAACAGGAGTGCATGAATGAATAACTACATGGACGACCACAATCATGGACGAGTGCAAGTTTCTTCTCCATGAAAAGTAAAAACAACTTGGCAGAAGAACTGAATACAGTGACTTTACCTCTCTTTGAAGTTTCCGTTTTTCTGCTTTCAATTCATCTTCTGTTTTTTCAGCATTTTCTGCTGCTATTTTGTATCGCTTCACTTGACTTTCTAGCCTAATAATCTGCAATGAATCACACACAAATATAATTACACATGTTCCACATTTCGGACAATTTTTAAGAATAGGAATGAAGTCAGCCATTTTGAGCAATGCATTCTGGGAGAAATGCAAATATTTTCAAGACCAACTTCCAAATATGGAAGCAGTTGTTTTTTCTACTACCGGTACTTCTGATTGGTGGATTGGAAATTATCCACTTGGTATGATCAGTTGTCCTGGTAACTTACATTGCCTTCTAGAGTTGATTTATCTTGTTCAGTTTTTTGTAATCGCATTTTATATTCATTGACTTGTTTACCAGTTTCCCCTGCAGACAAAAACAGAAATAGCATGACGATGTGATACTGTTATACGTTAAATTTTGTCACAAACAACTTTAAAGCAGTTTGTACTCACTCTGTAATTCCAGTAACTCTAAATCTGGACCATTCATGGGAGATAGTGGAGTATTGCGCAGTCTATCGCCTTGATTATTTTTACTCTTTTCTTCTTCAAGTTCAGCTTTTAATTTTTTAATCTACAAGTGAGAACAACGTATCCTTGAGTGAAGTTGTAAAAACAGATTTTCCCTATACTGTTCAACATAATTTAATTAAGCCACAACCCATGGTCTGGTACATAATGAAACCAATATTACACGAATGCCCTGTTGTGAGAAAGCATAAATTTATCAAAGAAAGCTTAGAAAGAACTCCCGTGTGCTGAGAGAATTGGAGACACATTCAAAATTAATTCAAAATTACTTGAACTTGAGATGTTGATGGAAACGCAGAAAACTAATTATGCAAATTAGGTTACTAATATGAACAGATTTAAGTGTAAAACTAATAAGGTCTGCACAATGTAACAAGTTTCATTGAAATGTGATTAGAACCAAAATAATATTAATTATTATGCTAATTAGAGAATTAATATGAACAGATTTTAATCCAAAATTAAGCAGACTGTCTATTGTCCTAGAGCACTTATGTACCAAGTTTTATTCAAATGTGATGATCAATATTTGAGATATCAGTATTAATTAATTATGTTAATTAGGTGATTAAGAAGCATAAATATTTACCAAAAACTAATATGGTGTATAGTCATAGGTTCATTGAAATGTGATGGGTAGTCTTTAAAAGTTTCATTGAAATCCAATGAGTGGCTTTTAGACATCACTGCAACAGCCATAGAACAGCAAAAAATTAACTAATTATGCAAATTAGGTAATTAATAGGTACAATTATTTATCCCAAAATTAATCAGGTCTCTG